GGGAAGCAGGGATGGAGCCTGGGCCCTGGCTGGGTTTAGGGTTACGGAAGCTTTAGAGCCGGAGCCGAGGCTGTGTTGTGGTGACCGTTAGGGTTGGGGTTGGGGTTTAGTTTGGGATAAAATTTAGAGCTGAGGCAAGGGTTAGGGAGGGGCTGACACCAGGAGCGGCACAGCATGGCGGCCTAACGCCGCTCTGAGCCGGCGCCCAGGGCTACGGTTAGTGTTAGCATCCGGCGAGGCCCGTGGTCGGCAAACTCATCCGTCCACAGAGCCAAACAGCAACAGCACGACGATTGACGTTTCTTTGGAGAGCCGTGTTTTTTGAACTTAAACTTCTAACGCCACTTCTTCAACACAGACTCGCCCAGGCCGTGGTGTTTTGTGGAAGAGCCACACTCAAGGGGCAGAGAGCCGCCCGTGGCTCTCGAGCCGCAGTTTGCCGACCACGGAGCCAGGCGACGGGTGGCACTGGGTTTAGTTTTGTGGCTGGGGTGCCGTGGGGTGTCTGCCCAGGCCCGGGGTAGGCCTGTGGCTGTGACTGGGGTGCGGTGTGGAGTTACAGGGACGCCCTTCGGCAGCGCTATGGTTCCGGTGAGGGTGGAGGTTGCTCTCAGGGTCAGAATTGTGGTCCAAGTTAGAGCTGGGCCAGTGCTCAGGTGAGGGCTCAGGGAAACAATGGAAGCCGCTAAACTGGGGCGGGGGGCAGGGGCAGCGTGTTCGAAACTACAGTGACATGCTCAACTGCGGGAGGAACATTCTGGAGCCCCCCCGCCCCCCCCCCGCCATGGCTGTGGGCTGGGCCTTCTCCGTCCCCAAGCTGACTGCCACCCATGAGCTCCTGAGCTCTGGGGGGCGGGGCAGGGGCAGCCAGGGCCCCGGCTCCTAGGCCGCTGGGCCGGGGCACGTCTGCTCTGGAGATAGAAACCCCTGGCTCATTCGGGAGGAGGCCCCATGGCCTCCCAAGGGGAAGGAGGCCAGCCCACGGCCCGGGTCCCACCAGGGCTGCCGGCCTGGCTCATGGCACCTCCACTTCCCGGAGAGCCTGGGGGGAGGGGCAGGGGAGGCTGGGCTGGCACCCGCGGGTGCCCCTCGCCCTTTCTCGTCGGGGGCGTGGGCAGGATGGTGGCCCCGACGCCCGTGTCCGTGTGACTCAGGGAACGGAGCGGGAAGCCTGCCCTCGTTTGGAGACAGAGTCTTCGCAGAGGTGACTGAGCGCAGAGCTGGTGACATCACCCGGCCGCTGGGCGGGGCCTCGCTCAGGGACGAGTGTCCTTGTCGGAGGGAAGGAGGAGAGGACAGAGGAGGCGGAGGCAGAGGTCAGAGATGCGGTCACAGTCCGAGAAGCGCCGGCCCCCGAGGTGGGGGAGGCTGGACTCTGTGCCTGAGGGGCCGGGCCTGCAGGAGGCGGGAGAGGGCCTCCCGGGCCTCTCCGCCCGGTGGGAGGCCACGGGCCACGGCAGCCACAGGAAGCAGCGGCACTCGGTCCAGCCGATACGGGTCACGGGCTGCAAACAGCACACCCTTCCCCGGGCCCCAGCCCTCCACAGGGGGGGAAACTGAGGCTGTGAGCGGTGACGGCCCTGCAAACCTCCCATCGCCGAGGGGCGGAGGCAGTGTTTGAGCGAGGCCGTCCAGCCCTCACACTCAGCCTCAGCCTCTGCCCGCTGTCTTCCTGAGGCCCGTGGCCCTCAGCCCTAAGGCCCGTGGCCCTCAGCGTCTCCCTCCTCTCGCCTAACCATCATACCAAGTGAGTGCCCACCGACAGCCTTGTGAAGCCTCTCATGTGAGCAAGACACGTGTGTATACATGTATGTGCCTGTGCCTCGCCCTCCCCTGCTCCCTCCGCCGGCGTGAGCCACGTCCCCCCTCCTCGCCGCCTTTGGAGACGGACGCTCAGGGCCCCGGGGAGACTGGGGTGCGGGTCCCACCGAGTCCAGCCTCACGCTGTGATGAGCGTCCTGAGCGTCTAGTGACCCCAGAACACAGCCCTGCAGGACCGTGGCGAGGAAGGCGTGACGGACACAAAGCACAACGGGCCCCACGGAAGAGCTGGACCCCCGAGGTGCTCAGAGCACACACACGGGAACATCCCCTGCCTCTCAGCTTCCGTGGTCCTGACCTCTGTCTGCCCCTCAGGCCCGTCTCCCTCCCCCGGGCCCGTCTCCCTCCCCCGGGCCTGTCTCCGTCCCCTGGGCCCATCTCCATTCCCCAGGCCCGTCCCGTCTCCGTCCTCAGGGCCGTCTCCCTCCCCCCGGCCCGTCTCCCTCCCCCGGGCCCGTCTCCGTCCCCCGGCCCGTCTCCCTCCCCCAGGCCCGTCTCCCTCCCCCGGGCCCGTCTCCCTCCCCAGCCCGTCTCCGTCCCCCGGCCCGTCTCCGTCCCCCGGCCCGTCTCCGTCCCCCGTCCCGTCCCCGTCCCCAGGGCCGTCTCCCTCCCCCCAGCCCGTCTCCCTCCCCCGGGCCCGTCTCCCTCCCCCTGCCGGTCTCCTTCCCCCCAGGCCCGTCTCCGTCCCCCGGGCCGTCTCCGTCCCGTTCCCCGAAAGGAGGGGGTTTCGCAGCCGCAGGGAGGGTCCCCGGGAGCGGTGGGTCAGGAGTCAGACTCTTAGTCACCGGCTTCCGGCGGCCGGAGCCGCCCGGGGCGAGGGGCTGTGAGTGCGACCTCGGTGCTCAGCGTCCTAGGACCTGCCCCACAGCCTGACAAGGGACATGTGTCCCCTTTCCTCCCCACGCTGCACACGCGTCCCGAGCCTCACGGTGACGTCCTGCCGTGTGGACGCGTGGCCGTGCCAGCAGGGCTTCCTGCGGGTTTGGTGTCAGCCCCGGTACCCAGGAAGCCGGACTTCCCCTCGGCCTTTTATTGCCCAACCTCCAGGCTCAGCGTGTTCGGCGGCACGGCCCCCGGCCCCTCCTCTGTGCCGGTGACTCCCAGGCACATCCGACCGGATCAATCCCGGCGTCCCCGAGTCTCCGAGACCTCCACCCACAGTGTCCGAGGGACAGGCGTGCCCTCCCGGCGAAGCCCCCGCAGAGCCGGGCCCCCCGCCCCCTCAGCCCGTGACGTCTCCGTGCTCCCCACAGCGGCCACGGCCACGTGCTGGAAACACAGACACATGTACACGGCCACGTGCTGGAAACACGGACACATGTACATAGCCACGTGCTGGAAACACGGGCACATGTACACGGCCACGTGCTGGAAACACGGACACATGTACATGGCCACGTGCTGGAAAGACAGACACATGTACACGGCCACGTGCTGGAAACACGGACACATGTACATGGCCACGTGCTGGAAAGACAGACACATGTACACGGCCACGTGCTGGAAACACGGACACATGTACACAGCCACGTGCTGGAAACACGGGCACATGTACACGGCCACGTGCTGGAAACACGGGCACATGTACACGGCCACGTGCTGGAAACACGGGCACATGTACACGGCCACGTGCTGGAAACACGGGCACATGTACATGGCCACGTGCTGGAAACACGGACACATGTACACGGCCACGTGCTGGAAACACGGGCACATGTACACGGCCACGTGCTGGAAACACGGGCACATGTACACGGCCACGTGCTGGAAACACGGACACATGTACACGGCCACGTGCTGGAAACACGGGCACATGTACACGGCCACGTGCTGGAAACACGGGCACATGTACACGGCCACGTGCTGGAAACACAGACACATGTACACGGCCACGTGCTGGAAACACGGCCACGTGGGCAGTCACCGCCACACGCAGCTGCCCGCCCACAGCAGCCCGGGCTGATGGGTGTGTGGAGCGTCTCCTGAAGCGGCACAGACGCTCAGAGCAGAGCCGGGGACAGGGACAGGACCAGGCAGAGGGCTGGCGGGAGGCTTTACCGGGGAGGGGACCCTGTTAGCTCTCTGACGCGGGGACCCCCGGGTCTGCCCCACACGACGGGCAGAGGCGCTTTCTTACAGAAAAACAGGACGGTCCCGGTTCTCATGTTCACACACTGCCCCCCCTGGGTCCCAGCGCAGCCGCGTGTCCGATTGGAAGGACAGCGCCCGTGGGGACCCAGCCGCGCCCCTTTTCTGGAGACACAGGTGGGAGAGCTGGTGGCACGCCCCCTGCCCCCGGCTCTGTGCACGACGGCGCGCACGCCTCCTGAGTGCAGTGCGAACCCCAAAAGGAAGAGCATCACCCCCAAATCCCAGCCGGTCTCAGGCTGCCACCCCCACATCCCACCGCACGACTGACACCGCGGAGACGCCTGGGAGTGGCTCTGCCGTCGGAGGACAAGCTGCCGTCCTGGCTGGCCCGCCCCTGCCTGCACACTGGGCCTCTTTCCCTAAGGCCGGACGGGCCTGCTCGCTGGACGGGCTCTCCCTGGACCTGGACCGGGGCGTCTGCCCTCGGCCGAGTGGGGGGCGGGCGGCGGGGACGCGGTATCGCGGAGCAAACGGCCGCTGACGTCCGTGACCCACAGCGCTGACGAGCTCGGGGCGCTATCTCACGGGCACGGCGGGTGCTGGGCGTGACTGGGCCTCTCCGTGGTGTGGCCGCTGCCAGCTCCTCACCCTGGGGGTGCAGCAGCCTGCCTGCTTCTCGCTGGAAACGTACCGACTGCAGTGACCCCTCTGCCGTGGGGCACCCGCACAGCCCGGAGAGCGGAGAGGGACACTGGCCCCAACCGACTGGAGGCCGTGAGCACCTGAGACAGCCTGGCTGGTACCTGGCTCGGTGTGTGTGCGTGCATGTGTGTTCATGTGTGTGTGTGTCTTCCAGCCTAGCCACACAGCTAATCAAACCGCCATCTGCACGTGTCTCCCCACCGTCCACACCCAGGGAGCAGTGCCCTCGCCTGGGGCCTGGTGACCAGGTCATCGGACTCCGCCGGCTGGGGCGGTCCGAGGCCGCGTGTCCAGCCGGCGCCCGGGCTGCGGGCCTGCGGACCCCCCAGCACAGAAGCGAGGCCGGGGCGGGGGCTGCGGGCGCGTGGGCGGCCGGCGGTACTTACCCTGCATCTGGCTCTGAGGCTGAGGGTTGAAGGCCGCTGAGTGGCCCAGGGAGGCGCGCGGGGCGGGCGTGGGGGCGGGGTGGTGCGGGCTGACCCGCATGGCGGTGCGCCGCAGCTGTTCCAGCTCACTGAGCCGCTCGGAAAAGGACAAGCTGCCCGGCTTGGTCTGATCATCTAGTTTCTGACGGTGTCCTGGGGGGGGGGGGGGGGAGGAGGGAGGGAAGAGATGAGAACATGTATCTGGATCGTCTCAAACGGGGTTTCCTGTCCTTCCCCGCCTGCTCCCCGCTCCCCGGGGGGCTGGTCCCCACGGCAGGCTGGGCCCCCTCAGTCCCGTGGCTGCTCAGTGCTCCCGGCCTGGGCTCCACGGCCGGGACCCCGGCTCCCAGGGCCGGGGAGGGGCTCAGGGCAGGTGGGGCGGTGAGGCAGGGGGAGGCACAGGGGTGCGGCTCTGGGCCCCACGCTGGGCTCGGGCATGGTGGCAGGAGAGGCGCCTCCCAGGGCGTGAGCTCAGCGGCTCCTTACTCTGCACCAACACCGGCTTTCCAGCCATAATGGCTGCCCTGGCACAGGCACGCCCCTTCCAGTGGGGAGCGGGTGTGGCTGCGAACCTAGAGCCGGAGGCCGGCTTCCTGGGAAGTGCCCAGCCCCGGCCGCCCGGCTCTCCCTCCCACAGGCCTCCTGGGAACCGCTCCTTCCCTGAAGCCGCGGTCCAGGTGCGGCTCCAGAGGGAACCTTCCGGAAGGTGAGGCTCCCAGAGGGAACCTTCCGGAAGGGGGGGCTGGGGCCTGTGCCAGCCCAGCACTCCCGGCAGCCCAGGCCTGGAGCCCAGAGGTGCCCCTCGCAGCCTGGACCAGCTTTCCAGGGCACCAGGAACCCTTGTGGACAGGACGTGGCCTGGCCTGGCCCCTGTCGGAATCACTGCCCCCAGGACACAGGCCCGGCCTGGGGGGCGGGGCCTCCTGCTGCCCCCGAGGCCGCTCCCGGTGCTGAAGCGGAGACGCAGGCCTGGAGCAGGGGTGCTCGGAGGTGCCCAGCCCTGTGGCTCCCGGAGCCGCTGCCCGGTCGGTTTCACGGCCCCTGGCTGCCCAGTGGCCGGAAGCGAAGCCCGGAGCAGCAGCTTGCTGTGGCCACACCCACGTCTCGTTCACCTCCCGATCCTCGGGGAGAGGGGGTCCCACCCTCCCCGTGGCCCAGCCGGGAGAGGCAGGGCGGGTGGCGGCGAGGGCATGGGGAGGGACGGACATCTCAGTCTGGCTCTGATGGCTGCAATCACAAAGTTAACTTTCATGGTGCCCTGGTTGGGGTGGCTCAGTGGTTAGAGCATCGGCCCATGGTGGACAGAAGGGTCCCGGTCCCGGGTTCGATTCCCGTCAAAAGCACATGCCAGGTTGTGGGCTCCGTCCCCAGTGAGGAGCATGCAGGAGGCAGCCGGCCCCTGATTCTCTCAGCATGGATGTCCCCCTCGTTCTCCCTCCTCCTGCCTCTCTCTCTGAACTCCGTGTAAGAGGACACCTCACGCTTGTGTGATGGTCCGAGTGCCCGAGGCCTGGCTCCCTCCCGCTGCCCGCCCCCTGGCACAGCTGCCGCGGCTCCGACGGCCGAGCAGAAAGGCCCACGGGCTCCAGAGAAAAACACTGGGCGATGTTTGTCAGCTCCCGGAGCGCCCTCCTCATGTGTCACCGGCAAAGCTGGACGCAGCCCGCAGCCCGCAGCCCGCAGCCCGCAGCCCGCCCAACACCAACACCGGGTCACACAGCCGGCCTGGGCCCGGCCCTGCCCGGCGGGTATGTGAGGCCCCGGCCTTGCGGGTAGAGGCTGTGGGGCCGGTCCCGGAACAACCCGTCATTCCCTCCGAAACGCAGGAAGATCTTTTTCTAGAACGTTCTTTTTCAGTCAACCACAGACGGAGTCATTCAGCATCGCCGGAGTTCCTGACTCCTCCCACCCCTCAGCGTGGCGCCGCGGTCCTGGCTCCCTGATGTCGCACGGAGAACCTACAGTCCTCCTGGGAAACACCACAGCTCCACGTCCAAGGCCGGCCCTTTCACACCCGAGCGGGACCTGAGGCTGGGGCCAGGGGGGCAGAGGGCCTAGGTCAAGGGGGGGGCAGAGGAGGGGTCAGAGGGCAGAGAGCCTGGGGGTCAGGGTGCAGAGGGCCTGGGGGTCAGGGGGCGGAGGGCCTGGGGGTCAGGGGGCAGAGAGCCTGGGGGTCAGAGGGCAGAGGGCCTGGGGGTCAGGGGGCGGAGGGCCTGGGGGTCAGGGGGCGGAGGGTCAGAGGGCGGAGGGCCTGGGGGTCAGGGGGCGGAGGGTCAGAGGGCGGAGGGCCTGGGGGTCAGGGGGCAGAGAGCCTGGGGGTCAGAGGGCAGAGGGCCTGGGGGTCAGGGGGCGGAGGGCCTGGGGGTCAGGGGACGGAGGGCCTGGGGGTCAGAGGGCGGAGGGCCCGGGGGTCAGGGTGCGGAGTGCAGCACCAGGATCGGGGAGGGCTCTGCCTCAGAAAGGGCGCCAGCTGGCAGGAAGGCACAGAGCCCCCCAGCAGGCTCCGTGCCCGTTCCCATCGCCCTCTCCAGGCACCAGGAGTGCGGAAGACCCTGTGCTGGGGCCCGTGGGCAGCCCAGGGGCGTGTGTGTGAGACCACGCTGAATGCACGGTGCTCGGCGCTTGGAAGAAAGGCCACGTGTGGTGCCTGCCGTGGCCACCACGCCTGGGACCGGGTGCCACCAAGAAGCCCCCCCCCCACACACACGCCATCTCAGCTCTGTCGCCTCGGCGGGCACAGCGGGCACTCCTGTCCTGTATGATGTATGGTAGACGTGTCATACACAGACGTGCTAGTTAATGCAACCCGAGAGATACAGCAGGGATGCTAGCATATGCTGTAGTAGAACACACATGACACATACATGCTTACACGTCATCCAGTTTTCTGTAAACACAGGAAGCTTCCCTCTCCAGTCTCTTCCCAGGTCTTTAAGCCAAGGGAGCAGCACCACAAGGTTGGGGTACTTCAGGGTGGGGGTGAGGGGGGCGGGAATGGCGGGAAGGGCCAGGACGTCAGCCTCTGTCTGAACACACGTGTGGGAGGCGGAGTGCCGAGCAGTGATGTCATTTACCCCTGTCACCAGCGGCCGAGAAAGAGTCTGAAAACACACCCTCCCTCTCCCACTGCATGCCCAGCGCACCAGGAACCCCAAATTCTGTGAATCCCGAGTGCAAAAGGAGAGGAGCCTAGCCCACTGTGCCCCCCGCTCCTGAGTGGCAGGTGCGGGCGGGGTAGGGCCGAGAGTTTGGGTCCTGCTCAGGGTCCGGGGTGCTGGCCCAGGGGCACCAGGAGGCTGGGGTGAGGGGCTCCTCCCCTGGCGTGGGGCCCTCAGCGTGCTTGCGATCTGTCTGGGTGGGGACGAAAGCACCAGACCACCCGCCTGTGCCCAGGCCCGGCCACGGCACCGAGGGCGGAGCACGTGGCGAGAGCCCGGTCTGTCTCCTCACTTCCCAGCCCTCGCTGTGCGGAGCCCTGAGATGCCCAGGGCCGCCCGCAGGCCGGGGGCTGGGGGGCGGCTGTCGCTCCACCATCATCGCGAGGGCCCGGGAGCCGCAGTCAGGTGTGCTCAGACACGGGAAGGCCGCTGCTGGACACGCAGGAAGGCGGTGGAGACGGCCACGGCCACGTCACGAGGGAGAGCCACTGGGCCGGGGCAGCCCCCCACACGGACGGCAGCCAAGGCCCCACGGGGCTGCCCAGGCCCTGCCCTCCCTCAGCCGCGTCCCCGAAACTCAGGGACAAAAGCAGGCAGAGCTGGGGGGCTCACCGCAGTCAGACACGAGCCTTCGCCCCCATGAGCTGCCCGAGCCTCAGCTCCCTGACGCCAGAGGCGAGCGGTCACAGGCGCCCGGGGCCTCCCGCTGGTGCTGACTGAGCGGGTGCTGAGCCGAGGGGAGAGCCGTCTGGGGACGCTGGGGGGGCGAGTGGCAGCCTCCACAGCCGTGCAGGCGGCCCCCAGGTTCACGGCTCTCTCTCCCGGCCTCCAGTGCCCACCACTGTCACCTCCCTCCGCAGGGACCAAGGGGACTCCCCGGGGAGAGGGAATTAAAGAGGAATGGGGCTGGCACCGTGCATCCACTTCCCGCACCTCCTGTCCCCACGAGGGACGGACAGCAGGGCGGACAGTGGGGTGGATAGAGGGGCGGACAGCGGGATGGAGAACGGGGAGGACAGCAGGATGGACAGCGGGATGGAGAACGGGGAGGACAGCAGGATGGACAGCGGGATGGAGAACGGGGAGGACAGCAGGATGGACAGTGGGATGGATAGAGGGGCGGACAGCGGGATGGAGAACGGGGAGGACAGCGGGATGGACAGCGGGATGGACAGAGGGGCGGACAGCAGGATGGAGAACGGGGAGGACAGCGGGATGGACAGCGGGATGGAGAGAGGGGCAGACAGCGGGGAGGACAGTGGGATGGACAGAGGGGCGGACAGTGGGATGGACAGAGGGGCGGACAGCGGGATGGAGAACGGGGAGGACAGCGGGATGGACAGCGGGATGGAGAGCGGGGCGGACAGCGGGGAGGACAGCGGGATGGACAGTGGGGAGGACAGCGGGATGGAGAGAGGGGCGGACAGCGGGGCGGACAGCGGGGAGGACAGCGAGATGGACAGCGGGGAGGACAGCAGGATGGAGAACGGGGAGGACAGCGGGATGGACAGCGGGATGGACAGAGGGGCAGACAGCGGGATGGAGAACGGGGAGGACAGCGGGATGGACAGCGGGATGGAGAACGGGGAGGACAGCGGGATGGACAGCGGGATGGAGAGAGGGGCGGACAGCGGGAAGGACAGTGGGATGGACAGAGGGGCGGACAGTGGGATGGACAGAGGGGCGGACAGCGGGATGGAGAACGGGGAGGACAGCGGGATGGACAGCGGGATGGAGAGCAGGGCGGACAGCGGGGAGGACAGCGGGATGGACAGCGGGGAGGACAGCGGGATGGAGAGAGGGGCGGACAGCGGGGAGGACAGCGAGATGGACAGCGGGGAGGACAGCGGGATGGACAGCGGGATGGACAGCGGGGAGGACAGCGGGATGGACAGCGGGGAGGACAGCGGGATGGACAGTGGGATGGACAGCGGGATGGACAGCGGGATGGAGAGCGGGGCGGACAGCGGGGAGGACAGCGGGATGGACAGCGGG